ATCTGGCGAGCTGAAATTGCAAGGCTCTCTTGCCCAAGAACTCGGTGAGCAAGCAGGCAAAGCTGAAGATGAAATTCAAACCTTGAAGGTGGCTATATCTAAAATGGAAGCCGAAAGGGAAGCTAGTCTTCAGCAATACAGGGAATGCTTGGATAGGATTTCCGGTTTGGAGAAAGCCCTGTGTCGTGCCCGGGAGGATAGTGTGGCACTTGGTGAAAGAGCTAACAAAGCTGAACTTGATATGCAGTCTATTGAGATGATAGCTAAACTGGAGAATAAGTTACAAAATGCAGAGGAAGATGCCAGAAAGTTAAATGAAAGAGTAAAAAGAGCTGAAACCGAGGTTGAACTTTTGAAGCAATCTATGTCCAAATTGAGTGAGGAGAAGGAAGCTGCATCTCTCAAGTACCAGAAATGTTTGGAGACAATCTCTAGTTTAGAGGGTAAGCTCTCTTCGGCTCAGGAAGAAACGCAACTACTTAACGCACAAATTGGTAATGGAGGTGTGAAGTTGAAGGGAGCAGAAGAGCGGTGCCTCGTGTTAGAAACATCTAATCAGTCTCTCCACTCTGAGCTGGAAGCTTTGAAGTTGAAGATGGACAGCCAGAATCAACAACTTACAGAGAAAAATAAGGAATTCGGGAGGTTGTGGGCATGCGTACAAGAAGAGCGATTGCGTTTTGTGGAGGTTGAAATCGCTTTCCAAACGTTACAAGACGTGCATGGGCAAACTCAAGAAGAACTGCAGAATCGGGTCCAACTCTTGAAGGATCTGCGAACTGATAACCAGAGATTGCAGGATGAAGTAATGAAGCGACAAGAGGAGAACAAGAACCTCATTGAACTCAATCTATCCTCATCCATGTCAATAAGAAATATCCAAGATGAGATCTTGAGCTTGAGGGAAACAAAAGGGAGACTCGAGAAAGAGGTTGAGCTCCATGTGGACCAAAGAAATGCTCTTCAACAAGAAATATCCTGTCTGAAAGAAGGGATGAATGATTTGAACAAGAAACATCTGTCTATCTTGGAGGAAGTGCATGCGTTAGGCCTCGACCCAGAATGCTTTGGATCATCTGTGAAGGAATTGCAGGACGAGAACTCCAACTTAAAAGAAACGTGCAAGAGAGAAAAAGGCGAGAAAGAGGTTCTTTTGGAGAAGCTAAAGTTATTTGAACAGCTTCTTGAGAAAAATTCTATTCTGGAGAAAGTCCTTTCGGATACAAGTGCTGAGATGGAAGCTGTTAGAGAGAAACTTAAGGCTTTGGAGCTCTCTTGCCATTCCCTTTCGGTTGAAAAATCAACTCTTCTTGATGAAAGAGGAGCTTTAGTTGGTCAGATGCAATTGACAAATGAGAACCTGGAAAAGCTCTCAGCAAAAAACGCTTTTCTGGAGAATTCCCTTTCTGATGCACATGATGAAGTCCAAAGCTTGAAGGTAAAATCAAAAGACTTAGAAGATTCGAACCGGATACTAATGAATCAAAAAGAGGATCTTTCAGGTAAAATGGAAAGTTTAATTTCTCAGTTGCAAACCACCCAGTTAAGGCTGCACAACCTGGAGAAAAGTTATGCGGACATTGAAGACCAAACCTATCTCCACGGTAGAATTGGAAGTATTAAAGAATCTCTCTGCAAAACCGAGGAAGAAAATCAGCAATTGGCTGTTCAGATTTTGGTTCTTGTCACTTTGCTAGAGAAGCTAAAACTAGAGGCAGAGAATCTCCATACAGAAAAGAGCATTATTGACCAGGAGCTCAGGATTAGATCTCGTCAGTTTTCCATCTTGCATAGTGAAGCTGTTGAACTGCGAGAAATGAATGAAGAAATGAAAGCAAAACTAATGGAAAAAGAGAGTAAGGAGAACTTACTGGAACTTCAGATAGAGAATCTGGGCAGCAAATTGATGACTCTGCAAGTAGCTTATGATGCCTTAGAGAGAGAGCATTTGAAACTTCACGAGGACAAGAGATCCTTGAGTGACGAGTTTTCTTTCTGGGAAGAAAAAAGACATATCTTAGAACAGGAGAACTATGTTATCTGTGGTGAATTATTATCACTTGATACCCTCTCTTTGGTGTTCAAGAACTACATGAAAGAAAACTCTTTGCAAGTAAAGACACTCGTTTCAGATGTTAACAAGCTTCACGAAGTCCATGGTGAAACCACAGAAAAGCTGAGCTCAATAAAGAGGATGTTGGAAGAGGTAAAGATTGAAAATCTCAGCCTGATAAAGACATTGCAGAAGGTAGAAGATGAGTTGAATACTGCAAGGATTGTCAATGATCAATTAAATCATGATATTGAAATTGGAAAGAATTTGTTGTTTGAGAATGAGCTGAAACTTCAGGAAATAAGGCAGAAGCTCGGCCTCACAGAAAACGAGAGATTGGAATTATATGAATGTTTGGAGAATCTGAGAAGAGAACACACTGATGCTAAACGGACTACAGTTCTCCAAGAACAGCAGATCGAAGCATTGTCTGCAGAATGTGAACATTTGAGCAACGAGAATGGAAATCTTCGTGAAGCAAATCTCTTATTGGACAATAAGCTTCATCACTTACGTGAAGAGAACGGGAATACTAAAAAGCAAAAGGAAGCATTGCATTCTGAACTCCTGAAACAAACTAATGAGATCCACATATTGGAATCAGAAATGGAGAAGCTTTTCAGGGAATTGTATATGTACATGTGTTATTACGTTTTATATGAGCAAAAAGTTTCTGAGCTCATGGCTAGGCATGAGAGATTTGAAGCTGAAAGCACTTCCAATGATTTCAAACTTTTAAGAGAAAGTTTAAGCATTCTGGATGTTGAAAGCAACACTCATAAAACTCAACTGGCTGCCTGTTGCGCTGCTATTGTTTCTTTGAGCAAATGCATATCATCCTTGGAGAAACACATACCTGGAAAACTTCAAGAACCTGATAATGAGGTAATGGAGTACAGTTAAATTCACATAAATCTGAGTTCACTATCTTATCTATTGAAATTTTGGTAAACATCGATCTATTTAGATGAAAAATGTTCTCATTTCCAGAATCCTGCAATTTTGCCGGAGTGATTCTTATTTTATTAAGCTGTGTCTTGAATTTTCCAGTGTGTTATAGGATCTAGGATGGGTACTTCAAATCTTGAAATGAAAGTAACCCCTAAAATTTCCTTATATTTTAGTCCAAAAGACTAAAGGAAACACGAAAATATGTTGTGCTTACAGCCTTACAGTCTATTGCTTATTATTTTCAGGCTAATTTAGTTCCAAATTTTCATTTTGGAAACAATCCAAGAGAAAATGAAAGTTCCATCTCAACAGATGTAGTTTCAAACCTACAAGGTTTGGAAGCACGGGTTGAAGCTATTAAGAAGGCATTAATTGAAACGAAGCAGCTTGAGGAGCAAAAGAATGTGCGAATGCATTCGAAGCTGCAGGTTGCAATGAAACAGATAGAAGAGTTAAAATCTAAAAACCATGTTCATAGGAAAAACTCTAAGCCTGCATTTGGAGTCCTGGAGACAGAAAATGAGATGTTGACAAAAGATATTATGCTCGACCAGATATCCGATTGTTCACCTTATAGTACTGGCAAACGAGAATCGGTTGAAGCTGATAACCATACACTTGAAGTATGGGACACCGCTGATTGGAATACAAGCATCGGTCTTACTGTTTGCAAGGCTAAGCTTGCAATTGCAGATCCTCCAATCACTGGGAAGAACAGAAATTCCCGTCGCAAATCAGTGAGGAAACTGAAAAGTGATCGTATTGGTTCAGATGAGGATTCGGGAGTGGACAAATTGGAGGTCTCCAAAAGATCAATGGATCTTCAAGAGAGGAACAGGAGAAAAGTCTTGGAAAGGCTTAGTTCTGATGTTCAGAAGCTCATGAACCTTCAAATTACAGTACAGGACTTGAAGACTAAACTCGAGAGTACTGAGAAGAGCAGAAGAGGGAAAACAGTCATTGAATGTGAAGCTCTGAAGGGGCAATTGAATGATGCCATGGGTGCTATGAATAAGTTAATTGATCTGAGTGGGAAACTAATGAAAAACCTTGAAGGCGGGTCCTCATCATCTGCAGTGGAGTTAGAGGAGAACCAAAGTGTTGGCAGGAGGAGAATCTCAGAACAGGCTCGAAGAGTATCTGAGAAAATTGGCGTTTTACAGGTAGAAGTGCAGATGGTGCAGTTTGCTTTGCTGAAACTTGATGATGAAAGAGATTGCACAGGCAAAACACAAATGTCTGAAGAAAAAAGAAGAGTTTTGTTGCGAGATTATCTGTATGGGGTTAGAACAAGAGAGAGGAGAAAGAAAGCAAGATGCTGTGCTTGTTGTGTCCAGCCTGCAACTCAAGGAGATTGATACATCCCTACTAAGCTACAACTCAAATACCATATACAGACCAACTTAGTGTGTAGGATTACTTTCTTTTTGTGTGTATGTATTATATATATTCATATACTCTGTAATGGATTTACCAAAATGAATTGTCTCTCTTCTCCCCCATAGTAGTTTCTGTAAAATCAGTGAAACAATTTATCAGGGCAGGTTTGCATTGGCTGTGTTATTCTCTTCATTGTCTTCTTGGAAAGGGCCTTTTCCATACTCCCAATACTACTCTCTGTACTTGAGCTTCAGCTCCTCCCAATATATCCACGCCAACGAGAGTGCCCTCGCAAAAGGGGTTGTTTGTGTTAGGATCAAACGCTTGCCACTACCGCCACATTTTCGAGAGGTGGGGCACTGGACTTGACTCTTTACCAGCCTCCGCCCAACAATTCCCCCTCCCATCACTTGCCAATTTTAAAACCTGTGACCTGGCTTTGATAGCACTTTTTAGATCAAACGCTTACCATTAAGCCAAAAGCTATAGCTCACAGCGAAGGTGCAATTTTATTTTCAAGAGACAGGGTGCTGGACTTGGCCCATCAACGGCCTCTGCCCAACAATTTGGCATGTCAGACATTGAACATGTTCCATACAAATCCTTTCCTTAACACTAAGCATAAGAGGATCAAATATTTTCATTAAGCAACCACCCCGTTTTCCCAATCTGGTTTTCACTCCTTCCTCTCTCCTTACAAGCATAAAAAAACATATTGCTTTGTTAAAAGTTAAAACAAAAACAACATAAATTGGGCATGTACATCTTGGTTGAAGCCTTGAGGATGCTCCCTTGCTCAATAACCAGAGTCAGAGTGTCATCAAGATGAATAACTACTCTTTGTATCCCGCAAGTGCTTGGCTATGTTATCTCTTATAGTTCTCCCGATTGGATCAATTTGCTTGCAGCTCTGTCCCAAATAACCGGAGTCATGATGACAAGTCAAAGCGGCATCTGGATGCAACCGGTCCCCACAATCAATTATGATATTATGAAGCAGACAACACACCAAGATAATACTAGGTAGCTTCCGTTTATCGGGTCTCCACATAACCTTACTCAGGATTCTCCAGCCGCCCTTCAATTGCGAGAACGCCTTTACTGCAAGTGATCTTGCAGTCTCATGCACCGCATTAAAATCCAACATGGCTGATGAAAGCTCCTTATCTTCTTCACAAGGAGTAATAAGCCAAGGAAGGTGAGGATAACCAAAACCACCAACTATATATTCCCTAATCTCTTGTCCTTCGAATGTCATTTTGGCACTGCCATTTAAACGATCTCCAGATTCACAAAGTTTATAAAATCCAGAGCACTTCAATAGTTTGGAAGTAGTCATGCCCCCGGGCCATCCAGTCACGATATCTAAAAATCTCATCTCGCTATCTACAATCCCTTGCAAAAGCATGCTGTAATTGTTCTCCTGATCACACCAGTCATCTGATGTTTGAACCGTGGGAAGGGTCATTATGATGTGGGTTGCATCAATTGCTCCACAACAATTAGGCAGTCCAAACGATGCTTCAAACTCTGACTTGATTTTTTCCACTTTACTCGGTTCAGGCCACTTGAGGTGATGCTTTGCACGCTCTTCAAGTGCCTCGATGAACCTCCAAGTCACCTGAGAAACGGTAGACTGCCCAACTCCAAATGAAGCTCCAACCGAAACTTGTGATTCACCAGATGCTAATCTTCTCAAGGCGATTGCAACCTGCTTCTCAACGCTAAGGAGCCTTCCCTCGATATTGATGAGACCTGAAGGGGGCCTTGAGATGAGATCCTCCCTCACAAGTGAACATATGTAATCAAAAGTCTTCTTCGAAACGCGAAAGAAGTACTTGAAACCTTCTGCCTCATCAGAAGGTATACTCAAACCTGCAATACAGAGTTGAAAAGGAGGTGTATTTATTTAACACCTCATCATGGAGGCAAAAACAAATGCAATGACTAATATAAAAACTGACAAGAAATTATATGAAAAAGAAAACCTCCAAACCTCCAATTAAATCCACCAAGGTTACCATGACTTAAAATCTTGTTCTCCTAAGGCTCCATTTAAGTCTTCAATCTAATAGGCAGTGTTGTAAAAATTGGTCTAGGCGCCGACTAGGCGCTAGGTGCCCCTAAGCCGAGGCGATTTCAGCCCTAGGCGGCTTTTAATCGGCCGGGCGACTAACCAGCTGACTAGGCACCTTAGGCGCCGAGTCGGGCGCCTAACTTGGTTGAGTTGGTGCCCAACTCGGCCGAGTTAGCACTCAACTTGGGCGAGTGGTTTGTTTTTTTTGCCTGCTCGGCTATTCCTCTTCTATATTCTTCCAACCATGTACTCAACTAACCATCTAACATATGCAGTTGACTAGTTTGGGAGATTATAACAGTCTAACAACTCACAGCCCCGAGTGGGAAAGTAGAGACAATATACTCATATTACTCGGCCGCCTAGCGCGGCGCCTAGGCTCCGGACTAGCGCCTAGCGCGTTCTACAATATTGCCAATAGGAGAAACTGAATGGAAAGGAGCAAGAAAAATATTATTCCCCTTACATTATCTTTGTCATTCAACCAACCAGCATCTAAACCTATGACTCCATTTATGTTTGTAAATTGTAATAAAGGAAAGGATCTTGATTACATTACTTTCCATTTCTCTTTTACTTTGAGTCTCCAACTCCCCATTTTAAGCCCGAGTCCTAGCTGGAAGCCTGGAACTGAGCTTGCTAACCCACAAGGAACATAATTCTACAACTCTAAAGAATCTCTCTCTCACTGTCTCTCACGCACAACAATAACAAAAAAAACCACTAATATCCTCATTTGAAGAGCCAAATCAAGATCTTAAACAGATTCATATTGCAGTAGAGAAGAACTAACCATCATAAATCCAAACAAGCATAACGCTCTTTTGATAGAAAGACCACAAGAGAAAACGAGCTACACTGGACTATTTATGAGTTTCACGTAAAATGTCAACCCCTAAAGGTGCATTCTTGAATCTTGTAATTTCAAAGTTAAAATAGAACTCCACAGAGAGTGACCTAAATCATCGAAGTTGATTCGCAAAAAAATTCTCAACCATTGCAGTTTAAGATGGAGAAGAAATTTAAGGAGAAAATGGAAGGAAGCAAGCAAAACCTGGGGATGAAGAGTTCTTGTGCCAGAAAGAATCCCACCAATCGGAATCAACTGCCTTGTTGTCTACGGGGACTGTGCTGATTATCTTGCCACTCTTGGTCTTGTTCTTGATCTTTCTTTTCTTCAATTTCTTAGCATCCTTCTTCAATTTCTTGGATTTTTTGGGCGGAGCCATCCACCAAAACTGCAGATTCGACTCCACTCCACTGGAAAAGAAATCGATTCCTAGCAGTGAAAGAGGCTTTAGTTAGCTTGCAATTATGGGCCGTAGTAATGTTTAAACCAAGCTACTAGTTTATTTCAGATTTTATGTGTATTACTTTAAGAGTTTATGTGTATTTTGTTTAAAGTTTATGTGTATTATGGTAAGAGGTTATGTGTATTCTGTTAAGAGTTTATATATATTATGATATGAGTTTATGTGTATTATGTATTATGTTAGATTATATGTATTCTGTTATGAGTTTATGTACATTTGAAATAATTTTTTTTTTCTTTTTTTTTTTTTTTGAAATTAATGATAGAAATGGGAATCGAAATTTAAAAAAATAAATAAATAAATAAAATAAACCAAAACGACGTTGTTTTAGCCAGGGCGCACGATATAATTTGTCGTAAAAAATGGCAAATTTCACAGTGGATGATGATTTAGCAGTATGGATCATAAAGTAAAATTAGGTTACGACCCTATTTGGTATAATAGTTAGTTTATAGGTCAATTTTGACTTATTTGACCACTATTAGTTGTTTGATTTGTTTAAAAATTAATATAAGTATTTGGATAATTAATTTTTGCACTCCAAAATGCTAAAATTTCAAAAAACTACTGAAAACAACTTTTTCAATTAGCTTTTTGAGCAAATAAATTATACCAAACAACTATCAACTAACAGCTAATTTACCAAACATCTTTCAGATAATGTTATCAACTAGTTATACCTTCTAATTAACCCACTCAACTAACAACCATTCACCAAACAGAGGCTATATGTTTTTTTTTTTTTTTTTTTTTTTTTGCAAGGAAGAGCCTATATGTTTTTAATTAAACTTTAGTTTAATTTGATAATATTATTTTATTTTTTAATTTTGTTTTCCCGTATACTAGTTTTATTATAGTAACACTAAAATATAATTTTAGTTATACTACAATTTGATTTGATAATTTACAATTTTACATTATTGCATGATCTCTATTTTTAGTTTAATTCTTCATATACTAGTTTAATTATAAGAACGTTGAAATATAATTTGAATTATTACAATTCACGTTCATTTGACAATATGTGTTAAATTATAAATTCGATTTTTTAGTTTCATTTTTCATACACATTAGTTTTATTATAATAACACTAAAGTATCATTTTAATTCTACTATAGTTTCATTTGACATAGTTATTGCATGAGTTATGTTTTCTAATTTCATTTTGCACATACTAGTTTAATTTTAACAACACTAAAGTATCAAGATAACTCGACTACACTTTCATTTGACGATTGTACAATATAACAGCCGGTATAAAATAGAATTCTTAGGACGGCGTCGTTTAGGTCCTCAGAATATAACGATCGTCTCCTTCGAATAGAACCCGCCGAACGGGATTAGCAGCGGCGAACGGCGAGTACAGAAATGGAAGGAGAAATGATGGAACTCGTCGAGCTCCGTTACTCGGATCTCATCCTATTATCTTCTGACAAATCCGTTGAATCAACCGAAGAAAATCAACAGTTGGAATCTATAGCCAAAATGGTAATGGAAACCCTAGGGCCAAACGGTCCGGGCCTACTTGCCATCACCGGAGTCCCCAGGACCTCAAGTCTCCGTCGAAGTTTACTTCCTTTATCCCGGAAGCTCGCACTTCTCAACAATGAAGATCGCAAAAAGCTTCTTAAGGTAACACTTACTTCATCCTTCTGTTTTCTCTACATTCCTGTAACTGCACTTAACACTTCTGTCGATCAATCATATATTTGCTTTTCATTTAATACAATCAATGACCAGAATATAATGAAATAATTTTTATTGTGAGTAATCGAGAAAGAATTTTTGTTTTTTTTTTTCCTGGTAAATTATCAGGAACATGATTTGGGGAGTGATGTTCCATTGAAGAATTTGGACAGAATTGTGTCATCATTTGCAAAGAAATTGAAGTATGACGAAAGGTTTGAGAGTAATTCTTGTAGAACAATACATCATAGAGTTGTTGAAGGAGAGGACTGTTTAGAGGTTGATCATATGGGATTCAAGAATTTAGGATATATCTTTAATGAGCTGGGGTACTGTATGATGGAGGTAGGGCTTCGTCTTGCACAGATATGTGATAAATTCGTTGGAGGACACGATCTCGAGCAGAGCTTACTGGAATCTGGCACGGCAAAAGGACGCCTTATCCACTATCATTCCACAATTGACAATCGTATCATTAAAGAATCATCTAATAGAAGTGTAAAGACGGGAGCCAAAAACAAAATTCAAATCAAGAGAAGTGAGGAAACAGGTTCTAAACGGATGGGGAGTGAGGGTTGTGATGAGGACGTGAGCGACTCTATGTTGTGGCAGCAGTGGCATTATGACTATGGCATATTCACTGTATTAACAACGCCAATGTTTATATTGTCATCTGACAATGAAGCACTAACAGAGGAAAATAATAATTTGCGCCCCATGCCTTGTGAGCGAGAATCTCCTTCCCCTAGTGGACACACATATTTGCAGATATTTGATCCCCGTAAAGATCAGGTTTTTACGGTGAAGGCACCTCCCGAGAGTTTGATAGTGCAGGTTGGGGAAGCGGCTGATATACTATCCAAGGGGAAGCTCCGAGCAACACTTCATAGTGTATGCAGACCACCCGAACCTAAAAACTTGAGCAGGGAAACATTTGTTGTCTTCTTGCAGCCGGCATGGAGCAAAAAATTATATCTGTCAGATTACCCTCTTAAGCAGTTACACTCGGATGATCAAAGTTGCGGGTTCTGTACTGAGGATGACCCCAGAGAAGAGCAGGAATTGGAGAAACTAAGTCAGAAGATTCGTAATATTGTCCCGTCACTTTCATCAAGGCTAAAAGACGGGATGACATTTGCAGATTTTTCTCGAGAAACTACCAATCAGTACTACGGCAGTAATGGCTTGCAATCGAACAGATAGCTCAAGGTTAAAACTCCTATAAACTCATGAATTGTTGTCTCTCGTGCATTTTAGTTCAAAATGGTGCTTCAATAGTCTGGGAATTCAAGACTACAACACGTATTGGACCATCTCTCTTCAAGGGTTGCTCTCTGTTGCCACATAGGAGTACATGTTGATTGAGGTAAAGACAAAAGGGAAGGGATTTGTTGAAGTGCAGTAATGAAGTGGACTTTTGGAGCAATTTTACCATTTGCGACATACAGAGTATTAAAGAAAAATCCGCTTTTTAACTAGCCAAGTAGGTTGTGGATTGTACATGGCCTTGATCACGTCTTTTTCAGTAACAAGAGGGATCGGATGGCTCATAAGGATTTGCGATAATGCAGTTCCTTGTAAAATAGAGCACAATCTATGCTACATTGAGGGTGATTATAACTAAAAGGGGCAAGCATTCTTCAACCCATGTATAGTGAATTAGTGATCAAAGGAATTGGGATTGTGCAATCTATGTTACCTAATGGTTAAAGCAGAGGGTTTTGACCTTTAAGGTCGAGGTTTCACCAAATCGTACTTGGAGCTGAGTGATTTTGTGTAAGGTATATTAGGATGGGGTGTGGGGCCTTTGGAATTGGGGATTCAACCTTTTGGGAGAAGAAGAATAGGAATGAATATATATATATATATATATATATATATATATATATATATATATATTTTTGTATTCTCTTTTCTTTTTCCTTTTGGATATTATTTTAATTTTTTAAATTGAAGTATAAGAATGGTGTAAAAGCTTTAGGCTTATTTATGCATACTATCTATTTTTGTTTTAATTGTAAAATTTTGAATCTCATTATATATATATATATATATATATATATATATATATATATATATATATATATATATATATATATATATATATATATTTTTTTTTTTGTATTCTCTTTTCTTTTTCCTTTTGGATATTCTTTTAATTTTTTAAATTGAAGTATAAGAATGGTGTAAAAGCTTTAGGCTTATTTATGCATACTATCTATTTTTGTTTTAATTGTAAAATTTTGAATCTCATTTTTTCCTTGAATAGCTATGCGGGGGGGCGGTAATTAATACGGAGTAATTATCATTTTTCATATTTATTAAGCTTCTACTTTATTGTTTGCAATTCACGCTGAAAAGTCGAGGCGCTAAACATGATTTAGTTGATAGTTTCTTCTACTAAATAGGGAAAAAAATAAAATGTCGTTGCTGCTCTTTTAGAGCACTCATGAGGCAGAAATCAAAATTTGGAGATGCGGGGTATCGATCCCCGTACCTCTCGCATGCTAAGCGAGCGCTCTACCATCTGAGCTACATCCCCATGCTTTCTTTGGTTTTACATAAATGTATATGTAGCTGAATTCCTGTAATCGATTTTTCTAATTTATTGTAGTAGAGAAGAGATATGAATTATTCAATTTGCCTCCTATTATGTTTATTATTTATTATTTGAATCACTTATTTTCTATATTGTTATCGTATAATTTAAAATTTTAACTTTTTGTGTTTAGTAATACTTTTAAGATAAGTTCTAAATATATAATATTATATACAAATACAATAAGCAATATTACAAAAAAAAAAAATTACAAATAAATTGAGGCAAGTTCAATTAACTGAACCAAATATAAAATATGAGGTAGGTAGTAGTTGTTTAATTGTGTAACACAAGACATTGTGTATTCACCATTTTGAAATCTATTTTAAGAAATTCAGATGTATTTTTTCGATTGTAGTTGGTGTATTATAAAATTATAATTATATTAAAATATCCATAAAGGAAATACGTTGACCACATGTAAAGGAAATATGTCACCAAATACACTAGCCAATTCAACCCCTGAGCTTCATAAGTCGCTAATACACTTGTCGGCGATGCAAATGGACACGGGACTTGTAATTTTAGGAAATTATTATATAAACTTTTAAGTTCTACTCCAAAATTCTACTTCCACTCCTATAGTCTATCATTGTCTGTCACGTAAGAGAGTAAAAGTGAAGAATACATGTAGAAGAATTCGTAATTTTATGCTTATTGTTGACCCAAATTTAACTAATATTTATTTGTTACGGTCTGAAATGTTAAATGTGGCTAAAAGTTCAATGTACTATTATTGATTGTTCGTTACCAATTTAACCCCTAATTACCTAGTTGTATAATGGATTTGATCCCATAAAACTATCTAACTATCAAAAACAAACTGACAAGAGAATGAAAGGGAAAGGGCAAGAATGATGATCGGAATTTTGAGGCAGAAGGAGGGAATAAAGGTATATGACTTGTCGTTTTTTTAGTCCTGAAGTGTCAAGAAAAGGCTATGGTCCCATATCCTCATTGTTAAAGTTAGCTCTTTCATTCTCTTTGCGCTTTTCAATTTTATTATTATTATTATTATTTTTTTAAAATTTTTTGGCAGAGATGATCTGATTATCGTTGAATAGACCTGGTTGTCAAGCAACATAACTGTAATTCTCCCAAATGAGAGGTCACATGTTCGAATTTCAGTGGGGTAGAAAATATGATCCTTACATGGAGCTAACAAAATTTTCGACGAGAGACTCGTAAATATATTTCTGTATTCGGATAGAAATTGCAGACTTTCTCGTAAATTAAAGAAAATGAATGCACAATAATAATCATGCATGTTATCTTGAAAGAATATAAATTGGATTATATATTTTTTAAAATATAAAAACTTCAAGTCAAGTTGCACTATGGTGGAAATAACACAAGTACACATGATGGGTATATCAACCTCTTTCTCTCCTTGCAGTGAAGTTTTCAAGTATGGATTTTGAGAAGATGGCTCAACTGTTGTGATTACTTTGTAAAGTGAAAGAAGTTGAGTATGTATTTTCACTAGACTTGTTCTCTGTTGTTGGAATGATTTCAAATCTACATTTTTTCTTCTTTTTCTTCTTGTGGGCCTTAACAAAAAAAAAAATAAAAAATAGAGGTGTGTATACTACCCTTTTACGGTCTTGACATTCAGAGCAATAAGATGCATTACTATTCTCTTAATAATTTGGAGGTATTTTGAAATGGCCATAATAATTCTGATACTGTTTGACCATTATTTTTTTGGACCCTTAGCTAGCTTACTCTTTAAGAGCAATATTATCATTTGAGGATATTAGGAGAGAATGTAAGAGTATTAGGAAAGAGAATGTGGGAGGAAAGAAAAAAAAAAAAATCAAAACTGACTTTTTATTAAAAAAAAATGATATAAAAAACATGATTAGGCGCGCCTGACGCGCCCGTGTGGGCGGCTGCTGTGCGCAAAACGCGCACAGCAGCCCATGCTTCTATGATATTTCTCTTCCCTTGGGAAGATAAATATCTCTACCCTTGGCAGGGATGCTTTATATATCAATTTCTCTCTTATTGGCTCTCTCACTTCCATGTAGGCAAAGATTTCTTGAATACCGTGAATGCTTCTCTGATGGGGATGCTCTAAGTGACACTAAAAGCATCCACGCTTCTGGATTTTATGGAGTTTTTGTATACCAAAAAATTAAGAAATGGGTTTTAACAAGTGAGGGAATGAGTTTTTTTTCAGGGCGCGTATAGTGCACACCCCTGCTGGATGGACTTAAAAGTGCTTCGTTAAGTGCGTATCATAGTGATGTATTACAACGTAGTATCTGTTCGTAACTACTTTCTCACCCTACTACCGCACCGCCTCAATTGAGGCTCAAACTCACAACCTCCTATATGGGAGTCCAACCCGGGTGCCATCTGAGCACAAGGTGCTTGACATATGAGTTGATTTAATTAAGCTATTTGGCCAAATAATTTAATCAACGACTCAATTTATTCAATTGAGCTAATTATTGAACTAGCGGGCCGGGTTCAGTTAACTTGAATAATTCCTTCAATATGACACAAGTAACAAAACAAATTATTGCCAACTAAACTAAACTCATAGTAAACTAAAAACAAACATGTAGGGGTAATTTTTGCCGCTTGGTTAAAGATACAAACTTGTAATCACTCCGCGCGTAGCTTGTCAATTCGTGCCGGCCAAGCTCGCATTTACACGGGTCAAAAATTTTAGGTCCTAACTCACCTCATTGCTAGACAGTTTAGACAATATAGGGTTGGCTCACGGGTTTCGACCCTGATAGGGATTATCTCCTACCGAATAGTAACCACATTTGGTCGGTGTCGAGTCCTGTACTTGAGTAGAGCCCGATCCGACCATCACCGACCCAGACTGCTCGCATACCCGACCTAAATTCAGACCGAGTGCGGTCCGACTAACTAAGTGAAGGGCAATAACAATCGCCCTGCCCCAACCACCTAAGGTCGGGATATTGATCACCCGACCTGTCACACTTAGAGCCCAAGGCTTAGTTCCTTTAGCCTAACTCGCCAGCGCCACACCCAAAGGAATCAGGAATATTAGGATACACGAACGAGCTAGATTAGGCCGCGATCTTGCCCTATGCATGTGCTCCACGTGCCACGCACGCCGAGAGACCGATAATTATTCCATCTCCCCCCTATAAATACCGCATTCAATGTGAGGAGAGGGGGCTTTTGGCAATTTCTACACACTAACGTTTAGCTCGGGAACCTCTGACTGACTATCAAGTCATCCGAGCTCAAAGACGTAAACCAACAAGCAGATTAGGTAAAGAGACCGTAGCTGGAACCGATCCTAGCACCGGGCAACGAGTAGTAGAAACTCCGTATTTACTACACCGGGCGCACTTTGACACCCCTAATTAGTATGACAACAATTTGAATAGAGAAAATCCACTAAAGGTCCTCCGAGTTTGAGGCATTACCAGTTTTGGTCCTCAACTTATAAGTCTACCATAATAAGTCCTCCAACTTTTTTAAAACTACCACTAATTGAAGAGTAAATACTCAACATGGTCCATCGACTATAGCTAAATTCACAAATTGGTCCTCGACTTTCAATTTCAACCAATTAAGTCCTTAACTTTGTAATTTTGACACGATTTGGTCCTCCATCTATTTGACCGTTTGTTGACTGCGATCTTTGAGGATATATATGTAGTTTCACGTGCAAAGCTCAAGAGAACGCTCTTGGAGGTGACATCGTTGTTTCGGAGGGGGAAGTGCTTCTCCGCTTGCTACTTGGGGATCACGAGCCGGATTAGCTTAGAGAACGTTCTTGAAGGTGACAACGCCGTTTCGGAGGGGGAAGTACTTCTCCGCTTGCTGCTTGGGGATCCCGAGCTGGTTCAGCTTGCCTACATCGCTTGGAGTCACGACTTTCTCGAAGAGCCACTCCAAGGACTTTGGTGATTTATCTATCAAAAGCTATAATCTCTCTGGCATGGGGTGCAGCGCCGACAGTGGATTCAAATGCAACAGTGCGGTCTAGAAATGCAATCGGAACCTTAAAAAACCGATGATGGACCATGACATTACATATATATCCTAAAAAGGCGCAGTCAACAAACGGTCAAATAGACAAAGGACCAAAATTGTGTTAAAATTGCAAAGTTAAGGACTTAATTGGTTGAAATTAAAAGTCGAGAACCAATTTGTGAATTTAGCTATAGTCGAGGGACCATTTTGGGTATTTACTCCTAATTGAACTTTGAATTTGAGATGCTACCAACTTTGGACTTTAGTCCTCAACTT